GACCTGTGCCTAGACACAACCACAACTCATTATGTCGTCAGCCGGATCCGGGCCGTATCCAGATCAGTTGGTGGACCAGTGCCTAGACACAACCACAACTCATTATGTCGTCAGCCGGATCCGGGCCGTATCCAGATCAGATGGTGGACCTGTGCCTAGACACAACCACAACTCATTATGTCGTCAGCCGGATCCGGGCCGTATCAAGATCAGATGGTGGACCTGCGCCTAGACACGACCACAACTAATTATGTCGTCAGCCGGATCCGGGCCGTATCCAGATCAGATGGTGGACCTGTGCCTAGACACAACCACAACTCATTATGTCGTCAGCCGGATCCGGGCCGTATCAAGATCAGATGGTGGACCTGCGCCTAGACACGACCACAACTAATTATGTCGTCAACCGGATCCGGGCCGTATCCAGATCAGATGGTGGACCTGCGCCTAGACACGACCACAACTCATTATGTCGTCAGCCGGATCCGGGTCGTATCCAGATCAGATGGTGGACCTGCGCCTAGACACAACCACAACTCATTATGTCGTCAGCCGGATCCAGGCCATATCCAGATCAGATGGTGGACCTACGCCTAGACACGACCACAACTCATTATGTCGTCAGCCGGATCCGGGCCGTATCCAGATCAGATGGTGGACCTGTGCCTAGACACAACCACAACTCATTATGTCGTCAGCCGGATCCGGGCCGTATCCAGATCAGATGGTGGACCTGTGCCTAGACACAACCACAACTCATTATGTCGTCAGCCGGATCCGGGCCGTATCCAGATCAGATGGTGGACCTGTGCCTAGACACAACCACAACTCATTATGTCGTCAGCCGGATCCGGGCCGTATCAAGATCAGATGGTGGACCTGCGCCTAGACACGACCACAACTAATTATGTCGTCAGCCGGATCCGGGCCGTATCCAGATCAGATGGTGGACCTGCGCCTAGACACGACCACAACTCATTATGTCGTCAGCCGGATCCGGGTCGTATCCAGATCAGATGGTGGACCTGCGCCTAGACACAACCACAACTCATTATGTGGTCAGCCGGATCCAGGCCATATCCAGATCAGATGGTGGACCTGCGCCTAGACACGACCACAACTCATTATGTCGTCAGCCGGATCCGGGTCGTATCCAGATCAGATGGTGGACCTGCGCCTAGACACGACCACAACTCATTATGTCGTCAGCCGGATCCGGGTCGTATCCAGATCAGATGGTGGACCTGCGCCTAGACACAACCACAACTCATTATGTAGTCAGCCGGATCCGGGCCGTATCCAGATCAGTTGGTGGACCTACGCCTAGACACGACCACAACTCATTATGTTGTCAGCTGGATCCGGGCCGTATCCAGATCAGATGGTGGACATGCGCCTAGACACAACCACAACTCATTATGTCCGGGTCGTGTCCGACACGACCTGCGCCTAGACACGACCACAACTCATTATGTAGTCAGCCGGATCCGGGCCGTATCCAGATCAGATGGTGGACATGCGTCTAGACATGACCACAACTCATTATGTAGTCAGCCGGATCCGGGCCGTATCCAGATCAGATGGTGGACCTGCGCTTAGACACGACCACAACTCATTATGTAGTCAGCCGGATCCGGGCCGTATCCAGATCAGATGGTGGACCTGCGCCTAGACACGACCACAACTCATGATGTAGTCAGCCGGATCCGGGCCGTATCCAGATCAGATGGTGGACATGCGCCTAGACACGACCACAACTCATTATCTCGTCAGCCGGATCCGGGCCGTATCCAGATCAGTTGGTGGACCTGCGCCTAGACACGAACACAACTCATTATCTCGTCAGCCGGATCCGGGCCGTATCCAGATCAGATGGTGGACCTGCGCCTAGACACGAACACAACTCATTATCTCGTCAGCCGGATCCGGGCCGTATCCAGATCAGATGGTGGACATGCGCCTAACTCTGCAAAAAATACCTTCAAGCTCTATAACATAGGTTCTCAAAGTGCGGCCCGCGGGCCAATGGCGGCCCGCCGAAACATTTCTGGCGGCCCGCGATAACATCTGTAAAACTGTTAAAACTATTGCTTTGAAAAAATGAATATCTCCGTTTAGTGGTGTTTAGCGGCATCCATAGGCATAAGCGGTAATTACATGGTCCGACCGACCGATCGCACTTGACCTCACTCCCAAGGCCACCAGGAACAGTGGTTGTCTACACAGGAATAGGAATCGTGGCCAACCGAAACCAGCACCACAAATCCCATTGCAATTTAAAAGGGTATGTTGACCAAGTAATCAATATTCAATGTGACTCAATAATAATCTTAACAATGTCAAGCTTATTAATAGCCGCGTTTCCATTACCTTTCAAATTGTTCGCGGGCACGAACACTTGCATTTCCCTATCAACAGTGGAAACAATTTAAACTAGTCTATCATTTCTGGTCATACAGAAAATAATAATGCATTATTCGCAACTACTTTTATTTGTGTAAACTCATAACAAGAAAACGTGCTTTTGTAAAATAAAATAAAACAATCAGTATCCTAGGCTACTACGCGCTTTCATGATCTCCGTGAACTGGAGCGCGAGAACTGAAACAAAATATAGCCTATGTAGGCTAAAGCTTAAAATGTGCACTTTTAAACAAACAAGCTCGAATCGAAAGCAAATACCTGATTATGTAATCCGTATGAAAGGTGGATTTCTCTCTAAAAGCGCATCTGCTTAACAGCGGAGATGGAGATATGTTTTTAGCCGACACTTAGCAAACAATAGTTTATTAATAAACAATTAAAATGCCTCGCTGTTTTTTCAGACGCATTTATTATCATTAGCCTATAACTCACCTATAAATCAGGCTAGATCAGACACGTACAGGCTATATGGCTCTTCTCATTCATCACTGCGTGAAAAATATAAATTCCAGGTTCTAATTTGGCCTTAGAAAACCAGTAAAATCGACATGTTTTCCATATTAATTTGTGAATATTTAAAATGTTTAATAAAGGGGCAAAAAGTCATTTAAACAAAAATCTGAAAAAGTCTGTCGATATTTACTTTTTTTGCGCAGCAGTTGGTGAAGCCAGTTCAAATTAAAATTTTGTTCAACTTTGCGTTTTAAAAAGACAACAACCGTTCATTTTTCGTTTTTCAGTTACGGGTTAAAAAAGATAGATAATAATATGCAAATCTGCAATAATGGAAACGCGACTGACAAGCAATGATAGAAATGAATGATGATGATGACTTGTTTGGTAAGCTTCTATTTTAAAAGTTTCTTTCTCTCCCCCCCAAAATTTTCACAAGTTTTGCCAGGTTTAGCCTCAGTTATGAATTAAAATGTGTTTATTGCAACTAATGTAAACTGTAGAGATGCAACCTGGTCATTAAAATAATTTCAAATGGGATTTTCTTTTCAGTCTTTTTTTCTTCGTTTTCTCCCCCGCCACTTTGGCGGCCCTCAGTTCAATGTTGGGTTCCTAAATTGGCCCTCACCTATCAAAACTTTGAGAACCCCTGCTCTATAAGAATATACCAGACAGCTGAAATATTCTGAATGTGGTTTAGATGAATTCACTGGAATGACAAGTTTCTTTTGACAGATTTCTTTGGAAATGATAGTTCTATATCACCAAACATGAGTAGCATTTGGTTACAAAAGATAAATTCAATTACACACTGCGTATACAATATAAATGTAACCGGGGTATCCAGGGCAGCAAGAGGAAACAAGGATCTAGATGCAGCAATTTATTAAAAGAAAACAAACCATAAACAGAATCCATGGAAACAAGAGTCCATGTGAACGGAAAAAACACACTCACACACACACACGTTTACTTGGCTATCCAAGTGGGGACTCTCAGACGTAATGTTTTTTTATACTGTACAAACTGTATATACTCTCCCCTTACACTAATACAACCCCTAAACCTACCCGTCACACACACACACACACACACGACCTCTAAACCTACCCATCACACAAAACTTTCTGCATTTTTACATTTTCTAAAAAAAATATTAATTACTCAATTTTAATTACTTTATGTTTTGGGAGATTTTGGTCACTTCTGCTTACAAATTTGTCCCCAAAATATAGTTAAGTAGGTACACACACACACACACACACACACACACACACACACACACACACACACACACACACACACACACACACAGACACACAAACACAAAGCATATTTTAAAAACCTAATTATAAATGTAGGCTTTATTTGTATAATATTACAGCAATAATGAGATATTCCTGTTCTCGCTAGCTTTGTCGAGGTAATATTCCACGTGAAGCCAATGAGGAAATTACGTGGTGTTAAATTGCTCCCTTCGCCCAAGTGCGTTCCACACAGGGACATTCAGAAAATAAGTGCACAATAGCCTCTTTCTCAATTACAAAAACAGCCATTGTAATCAATATTCAGATGAAAGATGTGTAAAAGAAATGTTTCAAAATAATAATAAATAATGTGCAATGTGCTTCCGGATTTCTCTTTGCCTTTTAAGGATGTACTGTTTGGCCTCTTTAATACCAAAAAAGCTAAATTTAATGAGTATTTTATTATTAATCTATTATTGCTCCTTGCAAAATTTCACATTCACTGTGTATTCACTCATCATCAGAATCCATTATTTGTTGTTTTTAGAAGAGAGGTCCAACAGCAAAGCATTTCATCATCTAAGAATCTTAAAGCTCATAAGACAATAAACTGGTTTCATCTTTGTAATTTATTTAATTAAAGTTTTCTGTTCTGTTTATTTATGTATTTATTTTTATGAGTAGCCTATACACACAGGCTATAACCCATGTGATGATTTGGTTTCTTTGTCATTTCGTTATATGTAATTCTTACACTTTTACTATGTACTTATATTGTTGAAACCTTGGCATTAAAAAATATTTTAAAAAATAAAATTCTGTAATTTTGAAAGTTCAATAAATAAAAAAAAATAAAAAAACTAGCGCCTCCTGCCGGACACAGGCGTTAGTACAACAACACGAGGACGTGATTCACTTCCGAGGGCAGAAAGCTGCAAACACAAGACTGCAGATCCAGGCAGACTCATTCACAGATTCCCTATGAAGATCTGAAGATGATAATCCTGCTCATGCGGTTTGAATGTGAGCTGAATGTGACGGGTGATCGGTGAATCACTCCTTGGGCCTCTGCTCAGGAAACACCGCGGATGAGACTGAGGCCTGGTGAGTTTTGCGGAATAAACTGTGATTTTGTAAACATTTATGCGTCTTAACACATTGTTTTTCTATGAGGAACATAGCAGACATGTCTTACATCAGTTGACCATGGTTTTACCATAGATATAATAACTGTCGTACCTTGTATTTTTTGGAAATGTTAGGGTTCTACTTTTACACTAACACAACAACACCACAGTATTACTATCTTTACCTTTCGCTGAGCCACTGTGGTAAAGTTAGTTTAACGTTTGACATTCGTTAGACGTTCGGTTTCACACCCATTAAACTATAATTAACTGTTTTCAGTCCAAACCAACTCAGATATACATATAAACAAATGTCCTTTGCAGCACAACCCTGAATTTCAAGAATATACACACCGGTATCAATTAGCCCTATAATTCAATTAAACATTTTGACCATTCGGCATTATGATATCAAACTAATAGTAAAATGTAGAAAATAGAAAAATATCCATTTTATTGCACAAAGCTCCGTTTTTGGAATTAGCATTTCATATGTTTAATAATAATTTTTCAACTTTAAATATGTGTAATACTGTAAATAAATTAAGCTACAACACCGTTTGACCTAAAGGTATCAATCCAGCTGTAAAGTATTTAAAATATTATTCCCTATAACGCACAAGGTTTGTTTTTCAGATTATTATACTGCTATTTTTTTATACAGCTTGTTTAAATTCCAGCCTTATGCAATAAAAGAGATATTTTTAAATGTTCTACATTTTACTAGTTTGATATCATAATGTCATATGGTTAAAATATTTAATTAGTTTATAGGGCTAATTAATATGTTGTATTTCTTGAGATGAGGCTTGGGCTGCAAAGGACATATCTGAGTTGGTTTGGGCTGAAAACATGAAATGCACAGATAGTTTAATGGGTGTGAATCCGAACGTCTAACGAATGTAAAACGTTAAACTAACTTTACCACGGTACATGAGCCAAAGGTAAAGTAATACCATCCATGGTGGTAATACCATTATACTGTATCAAAGCCATTTTATACCGTTGTTCTTGTTTTATAGCAACTGTGACACTGATCTGATCTAATACTATAGAGTTACCATAGTCTGATTATGATTAATAAAGTGTCGTCATCATGGTGTTGTTGTTCTGTTCCAGCTTGATCATGGCTGAAGATCCTCAGAGGAACTTCCGCTCGGCGTATTATGAGAAAGTGGGATTCAGAGGAGTGGAGGAGAAGAAATCCCTGGAGATCGTGCTGAAGGACAATCCCCTGGGTGAGCTTCAGATAGTCCTTACGCAGACTGAACCGTTGTTTGTTGAAATAATAACAGTTATTAATAATAATAATAATAATAATAATATTTCTTATGATTTTTTTTTGTGTTTAAATACCATGGAGAACGGTTTTACTTTTTGTTTTACTTTTTAACACTATAACAGTTATTGGTATTTTTATTATTCATTTTTCATGCATTTTTAATTGTGGTTTAAGAAACAATAAACTTATTTTGACTGTAATAATAACAACAGTTATTATTATTACTTTAATATTTATTTAAATTTTTTATGTTGGTTTAAGTGTTCAAGAAATATGCAGAACATGCATTATTTTTTATTGTTTTTTTTACTTTTTTACACTATAAAAAGTAATAATAATAATAATTAATTATTATTATTATTTTTTATTATTTAAAATGTTGGTGTAAGTGTTCAATGACCACGCAGAACTGTTTTTAATTTCTTTATTATTTTTTGACATTAATCATAATGGTTATTCTTTTTTTCATGATTAATTTTTCATGCATTTCTAATTGTGGTTTAAGAGCTCCTATAAACATGCAGAACAGATTTTTTTTTCTGTTATTTTGACTGTAATAATAACAGTTATTGTTATTACTTTATTAATTTTTTTTTAAATATTTTTTTATGTTGGTTTAAGTGTTCAATAACCATGCAGAACATGCATTATTTTAATTGATTTTTACTATTTTTGACACTAAAAAAATAATAATAATAATTGTTATGTTGGTGTAAGTGTTAAATTAAGTTTTTTTTATTTTCTGTTATTCTGATTGTAATAATAACAGTTTAAGTTATTCTTCTTCTTACTATTATCATTATTATTATTTTATTATTTTTAAAATATTTGAAGTGTTCAACAACATACATTATTGATATCGATTTTTCCTATTTGACACTATAATAAATAATAATTATAATAATTATAATTATTTTTAATGTTGGTGTTTATTTTTTCCTGTTATTTTTGACACTAATAATAACAG